TGTTTGTGTTTATGTGTGTGTGTCCTGCCACTGGACAATCCCGGGAGACGCCAATGAGAGTGTAAAACTGTGTTTTTATGGTGGAGGCATCGGGAGCGTAGCCCAGTTTCACAGCTGTAAATAGTGCATGAAAAGGACTCTGGTTTACATAAGCCTTCTAAAGACTGGAGAGAAATCAAACCGCTGCCGCTGCCATAGACTGTAAAACACTGAGCTTCTAAAAAAACAAAAACAAAAAGACACATGTCAGTTTTAGTCTAAGACTTCACAGGTCTGTACGTGCACCGTCTCCTCTGCAGGCATGCACTGAAGTATGGAAATGTGCTGCGATCTCGTCCTCTTGTAGTGATCAAGACATTGTTGTCTGCAAACACAAGTTGCTGAGTTTTCATTTTTTGTTGCTGTGAGAACCCCAAATTAAAAGTAATTACACTCTATTGTCTTCTGGGTGTTTTGGGGTATCTCAAGTCCCAGGCACATAAAACCTAAACTCTCTGCAAAGATAAATCCTCGGGTTAGCTGACCCTCTTTTAGTGTTGGCAAAATAAAGTGAATTGAGTGCATAAACGGTCCAGTCCGTCAGCAGGTCTTGGTGATGCAGCAGCTGAACGGCACTGTCATGCGACATGCATGTAACATGGCGTTCCCTGTGTCTCTCTGTGCAGCTGGAGCTTCAGCGGCAGCAGCTGCTCACCGAGCGCCAGGCGTTCCACATGGAGCAGCTCAAATACGCCGAGATGAAGGCGAGGCAGCAGATGGAGCAGCAGCATGCCGCCACTGCAGCCGCCGGCCACACTCAAGGACAGGGACAGGCTCCTGGATCTGGACCCCACTCTGGGCCCCCTCCACCAGGTATGCACCCCGGAGGGCCTCAGCCACACCACGGAGCACCAGTGCCCCACCACGGAGGGCCCCCACCCGGTGGTGCCATGCACACCGGATACCCCCCAATGGGCCACCACCCAATGGCCCCCCACCACCCAGGACAGACAGGTGAGAGAAAGAAACAGAGCAGAGGGTCAGAGAGAAAGTATGATCATAAGAAGTGATTGATAATTTAATGTTATTAATCTCATATAGTAACCTGAAGATAAACGCAATTAGATATTTGAAGGATAGGTTCACATTTTTTCATGTGCATCTTCCTAAAATAGTCACATGTAAATGGACAGTTATTGGTCTTCGTACTTGTTCCCTGCTGTCCATACTGGCCCTGAAGAGATCCCTTCTTTAAGCAAATTTAATATAAATGATGGAGAAACATAATCTGCACACCTTGTCGGCGCTTTAGTACAAAATTGCCTTTTTATGTTTCCCTAGACAGTGTTTCTCTGCTGAGCTGCAGCAGAGGATTGTAGCACAAAGAAAGGATTTTGTAATAAAATGACTGCTGCTGATGTAGCTTCAGTTGCACCGAACCAGAGGGCTGTGCGTTCTGTCCCCTGGACGTAGACCGCACGATTAGAGCCGCTCAGGACACTTCGATTAGAGCAGGTCTAGACCGAACTCCTTGTAATGTTAATTACCCAAAGTCTGTGCCTTTCTTCTCACAAGTGGCAAAAAGAGTGCCTGAGAGGTGAAGGGAAGGTTGGATAGATTTTACAACATACTGTTTATTTTTCTTCAAATTATATTTGTTAAAACCCGACCCACCACAGCTAGTTAAGTGTTTTGACAGACTGAATTCCTCCCAGCGTGAATCCTGCTTCAGCCCGTTCTTTCTACTAAATCTCCATGTGACTGATTTGTCCCCGCTGTTCTTTCTGCCCTACAGGACCAATGGGACCAGGCCAGCCGATGCCAGGACGTATGATGCCTGGCCCGCCCTCCGCTGGGCCCCCTCCTGGCGGCATGCCTCCCATGATGCCTCCACGCCACCCTGGAGCTCCCAACGGCATGTGTGAGTACAAATCTCCTTCTGCCACGCATTTTCATTATGTTTGTGCAATTTGAATGTGTAAACATTGATGTTTGTGTACATCATATTTTAAGGCTTTGTTTTTGTTGCTTACCCTGTTAAATTCACCTAGACCAGTGTACCTTGGTAATATGGTGGTGTTTTTAGAGTCTGGTATTTACACCACAAACAACTTTAGGGGAAAAAAGGTTTCTGTAAATCCAAATATGAGTGACCCAAAAGCTGACAGCTGGTATTTACTTTGACTGGCAGCTGCAGCTAAACGTTTGCGTCATTGCTGCTTATTATCCACACATCACACGTCTGTAGCCAATCAGCAGCTGAAATCACGACAGCTTTTTAGATAAAGCAGAGACTATTTTCCATAAATGTTCTTTTGTGGTACCCCATAGCAGCTCCTCTTTGTTGCTCTAAAACCAGCATCTTACCTCTTTCCAGACCCTGGCCCACAACCTGCACAGCCTGAAGCGGTACCTCAAGTTCCTGTGGGTCCTCCAGCGCCCCCGAGTGCTCGAGTGCCTGACAACTGAGACCTACACATATACTCGCAAAAGCACACACGCATACAAACACACACACACAGACACACAAATCTAACTCTATCTCTGAACCTCAGCCCCTTTTTTGATGGCCTTTGCTATTGGCTCGGTGTTTTCCCCCTCAAAACGACCATAAACTTTCACACAGGCTGCACACACACACACACA